GGTTGCAATTTTTGACTGAAGGGTACGGTTAGCTCATAGGCTAATAGCAAACATTCAAGTAGCTAACATTCGCTTGCAAGGAGTCCTGTTTGGGACCATGGTAAGCAAGCTAGTTAGCATACTCACCAGGGATTTCAAGGGCTGCAGCAATTTCTGTCCACACATCAAAGATGCACTCTGTTTACTCCACAGCCCCACCAGTTTCTCCTCCAGGAGAACCGAGATTCCCAGTTTTTGCAAAATCTTAATCCTGTGACTAAAAGCCCTGTGACTTATGACACTGCCTTCAGATGTGAGGGTGTAAGATTTAACTCTTTTTGTCTTCTTATGTACGGTCGGTATGAATCAAAAGTCTGTTACTCCTGTGAGATCACATTTCAGTTTTTGCTAGGACATGTTGCCATCCATGCTTTAATAACCTGAGGGTCTTTACATTGGTGTGAGGACCCTCAGCTTTCTTATACAGCCATCTACAACTATTCTATACAGACGCAGACATGCAGAATGCAGATCAATAGAGAAGCAAATATTTAAATCTTCAAACGTGTAGCTGAGAACAACACTGCTGTGTTTTTATTACCTGTTTCAGTTTGTTGTTGAGCTCTTCGGCTCTTTTACTCTGGCTTTCACTGGTTTGCTTCAGTGAAGTGAGCTGTCTTTCCAGTCTGGTCACCTGTTGGAGAGAAAAGAGACAGCACGGTGGATGGGATGCCATGTCTCGTGATCTCCTTATTGCCAATGAGACATTTCAGTGAAACCTGACAACACGGAAGAAAGACTAGAAGCTAACACTGCAAGAGGTCAAGGTTTCCTGTCGTCTGTTAAATTTTCTGCTAGACTGGCTATAACAAATAAGTTCTCTTTGGGGCAGTTTAAGAAGTTACAGTGGGCAGTTTGAGGGTTAATTAAAGTGAAGAGTGAATGAGAGGTATCATTGGCATAATGTATTTACATTTACATAGCATCTGTTTAAAGTGGAGCTTTTAATTCTAATATAATGCAAAATATGTGAATGAATAAAAAATGCATCATATTGTAATTGTTATATTTTGTAGGTAAAATCTGAATCTGCAATGTTCCTAGTAACTTCTCTCTGTCAGGTAAATGTAGTCTTTTTCTCTGAAGTAGAATTACACATGAATCCCTTTTGTACATTATTTCAGAGTGCAATGAGCTAGAATAGCAACATAATTCATTATTTTTCATATCTTAACATCATAATAAATCTATGGCTATTTGGGGCCCTGGTGTTTTGTTCAGGACCCAAAAAAGTGCAATGTTGAGAGTGAAGGCAGAGGAATGGAGCTGGTTTGGCTCAACAGACAAAATAAAATAGTTTTTAAACCATTAAAGAATGAATATAAGACAGCCATCTAACTACATCTCACATTTCAACCAACAGGCTATGTTTACATGGAGAAGAACAGCTAGAACAGCACATACTAGCATAATAAACTCTGTATCATATTGCACAGTTACTGGTTATAGAGGAGTTTATGCATTCTTACTGTGTGTGCATGTTGTTTGTGTGTTACCTGCTCCTTGCTGTTCTTCAGAGCACTCTGTAGTTCCACTATCTCTTTGCCTTTCTCCCTGCTGGTGTTCAACAGTTCTTCAGTTTTGGTCTTCAGTTCTGCGCTTAACCACTCGATTTTCTTCTCGTGCAACTCCTTCTCCTGCTCCATACGCTTCTCTCGGTGCTATGAAACAAACACCCAGGACATACAATCAGAAAAAGCATGTTAAAAAAAACTGAGTCTTGCGGTTGGCACTTGATCATTATGTGGTTGCAATAAAGTCACACTCAGTGGTGTACTGACAGCTTGTGACCTATGGACGGGTTAGGAAATTAATTCAAATTCAAAGTCCTTGACTTTTCCAGGTTTCCCATGACCCTGGGAACCCTGACAATCTTTTACACTGAGCTGTAGTGTTTTCCATGAAGTCTAGTGGATACCTGTACGGAAGCCGCAGAAGACTGTATTTCATCCAGTTTTAACTGCAGCTCCATCTTCACTTTGCTGGTCTCTGTCAGCTTCTCATTCAGACGCTTCACATCCTCTGCAAACAGACACACATGAAATGCACAAATATTAACCCCAAAATATTATAAAAGAACTCCTTATCAGAATAGAGGGCCTGAGAACAGAGGGTGTTGTAAGCTGTACAGATTGTAAATCCCCTTGAGGAAGATTTGTGTTGTGGTTGTATTAATAAAAATGACTTGACATGAGGAACAAAAGATTGTTACTACTATAACCAAATGTGCTTTTGGAAAGATGACATGCAGTATTAACACACCGTGTACCCAGTTGTGTGCCTTTGGACTGTATGTGTGTGTGTAAACCTGATAATCTTACCGGTGAGGTTTTCCACCTCCTGTGTTCTCTTCTCCAGCAGCCTCGCCAGCTCTCTCTTCTCTGCCTCAATTTCATACTTGGCTTTGGTTTGCTGTAGCCATACGCATGCACACAAACACATACACATTTTAAACAGAGTACTTAAACTTCAATACTATTCAGAGTTTGTAGAAAATACGAAATATTTGGTTGTTTAAATAAGTGTAAATAAAGTGTTAATTGGATTGTAATGGTAGAAGTCCTGCAAAGTCCCATGGGTGTGAGAATGTGCTCAACACATTCTACATTTCAGTAACAATTTCTAAAACTAAGAGAGTGACTTCAGACTCATTTTATCAACAGACACTTGACTTTTTGGCTGACGTTTTCCATTAGCACCATCACAGCCTTAACAATAACAGAACATCATTAACACTACATGGACTGCTCACCTGTTGTGGTGCTTTATCTTCGGGGGTCTCTCCCTCTATTCCCTTCAGAGTACTGAGTTCTTCATCTGCACACAGAGAAAAAGACACTGCTCACACTGAGGCTCAGAACAAAAGGAGATTACATGAGTCCAAACAAATAACAAATAACCTGAACAAAAGGTGTATGGATTACATGCGCTTTGAAGCAAAGGTTTACATAACTACCTCTGTGCTATGTGGTAACAGTTAAAAGTTACAGTACATTGGATTCAGAATTAAATGACTTTGAGATAAAAGCACTGACTTTCAACTTTGTTTCTTACAGTTTTGTTTTTAAACTCACTGTATCCAAGCTTTCCTGGTCTAATATGCAGTGAACAACATGTCCAAATTTTCTAGAGAAACTGCACAAATGCTTGAGTGCCCTGTGGCCACTTTAAGCCACAGAACGCAGATTTTAAGTAAGTTAAGTCCAACAAGTGGCAACTGTGAACTTGAAGCACTGATCCCTCACAAAATATGGGTAAGAAATTGTGTGTTAACAGCATGTGTGTGAAAACTCACTGATTTTTTTATTTTCCTCCTTGAGAGTCTGCAGATCTCTGGTGGCAGACAGGAACTGGTCCTGACTCTCTGCCAGTCTCTTGTCAATGTCAAAGTATTGCTGTTCTGAAGGGGCAAAGAACATTCAACAGTAATACATAAGTACACAGTACACATGTCACACAGCATAATACCTACACCACACAGACGCATGTAGCTTTATGCCTGCATCACTACAGTCTGATGAAAGACTACACTTTGAAACGGCTACAGATTTTATCTGCAGTAGCTCCTCAGCTTTGAAAAATGGCATCATTATGTCCCACAGGACATAATATAAATATTACTTACATATTTGAAAGTCTTGTAAGTTATAGGCAGCTGCGGTTTGTTAATATTAATGACCATCACGTAACGTTTCTTAACTGACAATACAAGCTGACAATTCCCAATGAAGTAGTGGTATGATTTATAGTGTTGGAAAGATTCAATGGGAAGTTCTTTTTCATTCTATCAGTTGAGTTTATAGTAATGTAACATGTATGTATAACGTTACTCGGTTGAAAGCAAATGCGTTTATATAACAGTTAGTTATATCAGTTAGGTCTGTATTACTTAAACACACCATACAGTTATGGTAATGACTGAATTAAAATGTCAAGTTTAAGAGCTGTTGGCATAACGTATAACGTATAACGTATTCTCTTCCGCCAAAGTTAGCTAACGTGACATAGTAGCTAACGTTAGCATGCAGCTGAAAGCATTGAGAATGACACACAACATTGATGTTTTCTTGCTGAGTTTACCAGAAGACGGCTTCATAGTAAACTAGAGTTTGACATGAGGTTTCTAGCAGCTAATCAACTAACTACTTAGTAGCTACCTACCACTGTCTGCTTTGAACCGCTCATGCTGCGTCCTGAGCGCGTCGTTAGCATTTTGCAGCTCCGTTACAAACTTCTCGAGTTTGTTCTGGGCGCCTTTCGGGAGTTTATTCAACTCCGTCCGCTCCAGAATCTGAAGCAGGACGGCCGCCATCTCCACCTACCCCCCCGAAAAATAACAGTTAATGGACACACAAACTCTGGTACAATAGTGTTGTACTCTCTATAAACCCGCTGAACTAACCAAGACAGTGTCAAGTTACACTCATACAAAAACCGGATACCCACGCACAACTTTCAAAATAAAGTATTCATTGACAATCAAGTCAGACCAAACCACAACGTGAAAAACGACAGCTGGGGTGCTTTGCACTAAATTAACGTAAATTTGCTGGTTTTGTTGTAGAATGTAATGCGATACACATAGTGTAAATTTTAGATAGCTGCAAGACAGGAAGGCTTCGGGAGTACAGAAATAACTATTGCCATTGTGTGAATGTGTAAATCAGTGTAAATGTCATCATAGTTATCGTAGTACTTCGGTAGCTAAAGTGCAACCAAAGTAATGCCTACAGTCTCTTCTATTAATTATTAGCTTTAAGTTTAAATGTATTTATTTTTGATTGTGTCACAAAGTGATTACCAAACTCTACGTTTAGTTGTTACCACAAGTTTTACCCCGATAAAAAATTAACAATGTTCCGTTAGTTGTTCATCTTTTCTTGTGTAACTTTACCAATTGACCTCGCGTCACCTACTACGTAACAGACGTGCGACGGAAGTACGTCATCGAACAAAGCATTGTGGTAAACTGAGGTTTTGTACTTTGCTGACGAACCACTGCCAACTGTCATAATTAAGAGCAAGTAGTCTCCCTTCTGATTCACATTTTACCCACTGTCTTGCTTCTGTCAGGTATTTTCCCTCATGGCACTTGTATTATGCAATTCAAAATTAAGTTGTACGTCTTGAATTGCAACTGTGACCACTTGACGTTAGCTGAAAGTAGCAAATTAATATCGGTTAGCTAAAGTTAGAGGGGCATACAACCGTTAACTGTACGACTTACCGTTGAGCTTAAGTTTTACTTGGTTTAATTACGTGTTGCCTTTTGTAGACAACGCTAAATGATTTGGTCTTAATGTGTTTAGCCGTGTTTTATTCTTCCACATGTCCTCTCTGGGCATTTTCTCAATGCAGACTTACTGATAACAAAAAACAGTAGCTACACTGATGTTGTAGCACCTCTCCATCTCTGCCCACTCTCTCTTTAGGCAGTATGGGTCGTGGCTATATAGTAGAAGATGCTGTGGAGGGATATCTGACGAAACTATGTGAACAACAAGCAGGTGCAGTCACAGGCCTGCTTATTGGACAGGTAAGGTTATATACAAACATCCAGCTGTTGTTTAGCCTTTGCTCGTATGGCCGCCTTCCACCTCTGAGTATACATCAGACATGCTGCAACAGTTTGCTAGCAAAACAGTCAGATGTCACTGATTCTACTTACTTGTTGGTCATAATGTAATTGGAAAAATAACCACTCAACAGGTAACACAGGACAACACCATACAAGCTGCGTAAACATTTCTATTGAGGATATAAACAGACTAATACATATATCAATCAATGCATTACTGTCTGTGGCGTGATGAGATAGTAATCAGTGTAAATGACTAAACATTTCAGAGCTCATCCCAAAGGGACTTTGTTGTCATGGCAACTCGGACGCCCCAACGGGAGGAGTCTACTGCAGCAGCTGGAAACTCTCTGGACAAGGAGTGGGTGACTGAGCATGCTCGACAGGTGGGCAAACAGGGACAAGACTGCATCCCAATACACTCTCATTTGGTGTTTAGTATTTAAGAGTGCGTCACAGTGTACTGCATGATAACTCAGACTGTGGAGGGTTTTTAGAACACACAGGGATATGTTTTATTGATGCAGGGAGCTCATACAGTCCATGAATTATAATGAATAATAAAAAAACAATGACAGAAAGACCTTCAGTGGGTTCAAGTCATTGTAAAAATACACCTCTAGCTCCATGAGTAATTGTAAAATCAAAAGCATGGAGCTGTATATTTATTTTACAACATCTGGGTTATGTCCATTGGTGTTAGAAGGCAAAACTGAAAAACTGAAGTGGCAGAAAGACAGCTATGTTTACCAGAAAAGATAAGGTGTTTTTGCCAGTGTCGGCAGGCTACTAAAGTGTTGTTGATCACATCAAATTGATGGAGAGGAGCAGCAGCTGCAGTTAGACCCAGTTCAAGAAGAAGAAGAAGAAGGAGAAGAAGATGATATACTTTATTAATCCCTGAGGGGACATTCATTTTTTTCTCACTCTGTTGTCATATAAACACAAGCCCAAAATACACACACGTACAAACAGGACCTATACATGCATTAAATGGAGAGATGTCAGAGTGAGGGTGCTGCCTTGGACAGGCACCCCAAGCAATTGGGGCTTCATTCCAACCCTGGGGAAAGGAATCGAGTCATTTACCAGACTCCTTGCCCTGAATACATGGCTGACATCGGCATGCTTCACTCATGGGATAAAGTTTATTGACAATTTTAACATCTTTTGGAACTGTAAGGATCGCTTTCAGCGTGATGGGATTCATCCGAACATCACTGGATGCAGACTACTCGGGGCCAACCTACGTCATGCTCTTGGAATGCCATACCAAAACAAGAATGGACAGATAAGAGCCAAGGACAAGTACGGGGCACAGAGACAGACAGCCTGCATCTCTCCCCCTTCACCTGACCCTTTGCTCCACATCACCCAAGGCATTCAGAGGATGTCCCTGTCCCAGTCAGGGATCCAACAACCCCCCTCCTGCCCTTCATCACAACCACCAAGGAGCCAACGTCGCCCCCCCCCCAGCACCGGCGCAACCACTAAGGAGCCAACGTCAACCCTCCCCCCTCCACCACGCTCACCAATCAAGGAGTTAGTTAAAGCTGCCACACTAAAGCTCAGTCAAATTGATGAACTCTTTAATAGTAGCCCTAGACATCATCACTCAGGTGCCTGTCAGAAATGAAACAGACCCCATGCCACTTCCTTAAACATACCGGCGATCTTAAATAGCCGGTGTCATGGTCAAACACATCTTGAAATTGAAAAGTATCAGCCAGAGTCATCTTCAAGGTCTGTCATTCCTGTTTTGACTAGCATCAGGAAAAACAATGTGAAGTTTTGAGTGAGTAAAGATCTGAATACTTCTTCCACCGGCTGTCAAAGACTATAAATGTGCATAATTTCTGCGTGACTGTGACATTACTGATGTATTTTAGTTCCACAGGCTGGCTCATGTTGTGTTAGTAATGCTGCCACGGGGCCACTGCTACCTGTTTTGGACTCGCAGACAGCCGCAGGCCTTAAACTAGCAGAGGACAGCGAGGGCATCGAGTCTTTGATTAAAACAGAAGTGGAGAACACAACAGTCACTCATCAACCATACATCTCTGTCTCTCCGTAACACTCTCTGCTTCTTCATTACTGTCTGATTCCTTTGCCTACCCTCCTGTTTTGTCTTCCTGTTTACTCTCACCTTGTCCTCTCCTCTCCCTCTGCACCTCTCTCTGCTTCCTCTAACTTTCTGTCCTCCTTTCACCCTCACCTCTTGGTCCACACTTTCTTTTCACTTTAACCTCCTTTCTTTTATCCAACCTGTTCTAGTTTCACTTCCTGCCTTCTCTTCTGCTCCTGAGATCGTTTGTCTTCCATCTTTTTTCTTTGTCTCTTTTCACCTCCTGCACTTATCTATCTCTATCTGCCTCTACCACACGTTATCCCACACCATCTTTGTTTCTCTCCCTCCCCAAATACACACAAACACACACACACACACACACACACACACACACACACACACACACTCAACTCTTCTTATTAAATTAGTAATAATGTCACCATGCTCACTCCCAGGAGGCCAGTGTTATTGACTTCATTATGCAAATGTAAACCAGCCCACAGCTATATCACTGATGGGATGAGACGTATACACACATACACACACACACACACACACACACACACACACACACACACGGTTTGTATGCTGCGTGTGCCGGCCAAGAAAAATTTCTTGCTGTTTCAGATAATTATGTCAACCAGTGGAGTTGATGTGTGCATTAGCATGAAATCTGCTAAATCCAACAGGCCGGGTGTTTTTTGTCTCTGAGTGACAATGTGTTATTATAGAGGACAGTACAATAGAAAAGAAAAGTGAATGCCCACAATGCAAAGCCTGTATCTGACCATTTTAGATTCTTACCATCTCAGGTATTTTAAAGAAACAAAAATGTTGATGAATGTAACCATGAGTGCTATATCGTAGGCAACTGGACTTGCTTGCGTTTCTTGAAGACATTTCACCTCTCATCCAAGAAGCTTCTTCTCTTCTAAATGACTGGTACGGAGTTGCAGTCCAGTTGCCTATGATATAGCACTTATGATTACCATGACCTGGATGACTGAGAATCTTCACCGACAAGTTGATGAATGTAGTTGATTTTTGAAAACTGTCCAAGTGTGCTGTAATCGCAACCGAGCACCAGAATACATGTTGGCATTGTATATTGCTGCAAATAGCAGATATGTTACATTTGTATGTTTTATCTGGGTTATGTTAAGACTTTACTTTATGTTTCCTTTTCAATTGTATATTCTGACAACATTGTGGCTAATGTGTAATTGATTGTAGTTGAGCTAGTTTTAGCTTAAAATACCCAGTTTGGTTCCTTTAAACACGGCTGGACATGTCCTGAGCCGTCATGTAAAACCACTAGATTTTGAGGCTACAAACCTACTTGACCATGTGCCAAACTGTCATTACAAAATGTCTGTTTTTGTCTCTACAAATATGGCTGAAAACATCCTAAACTGTTATTAAAAAAATACCTTTTGTTGCTACAAAAATGGTTCAACATTTCCCAAGGTTGTTAGGGTTTCAGCTCTGCCTCTCCCTTGTGTTTCCTCTCTCCCCTCCCTGGTGCCTCATGTTTGTTTTCAGGCTGTGGGTTCATCCCAGTACCTGATCTCGTATCCACATTTCCCTATGAGACGCGAGGAATGAAGAAACAAGGAAACATGTCTTTAGAGAAATGAGACGTCCTTTGCTCTGAAGCGTCACGTGAAGCAATGTCTGTTTGTGATGACGCCGGCGACTGATTACAGCTGGATCAAGGAGGATCAGGAAGCTTTATTAATAGCTATAGAAACTTTTAATGGAGTTTGTGTCTGCACATACACAATGTTATATATATATAATGATAAAGATACAGATAGAGTTCTCAGTAGCAGAGCAGCAGTGTTTTCTCTCTGTCTAACAATCACCTGCACATGAACAACAACCTGCGTTCTGTAGTTATAATCTGTCCTGTGTCCTGCTCAGAGTCACACAATGTGGCCTTCATTATCTGCATCTGTATGTAATGATATTCTGATTGTGAGTTCATTATTTAATAACCCAGAATATGATCATGGTGTCTTTGAACACTGGAAATGATTTATTAGGTCAAATGTTTCAGGAAAAATTTAGATTTGTTCAGATTTTTAACTCGATGGTGAATCAGAAAACAAAATATAAAACTTGGGAGTGACACACGCTGTCTAATCAATAACTGGTATCCCATAAGGGGGGCTGTGTCGGACGGTAAAAGACTTCCGCGAAGGCTGCATTCATGTATCCTCGCTTCCCTTCCCTCTGAAAGCCTCCTCTCTCCTCGACTCCTGAGTGCATTTAACAAATTGAAACGTCATACAAGATGGCGAATCTCAATCGATTTCCGGTCAGGTGATCAAGGATAGAGGAGTCGAGGAGGGATATTGGGATGACCCCTGTCTCTGTGTGTTTGCTGGGTGTGGCCTCCTGGTTCCCTCCTCCTGCCGATCCTCGACTGCCAGCAGTGCCTGCTCTATCTTCAGTTCTTCTGCCTGCTCAGCTTCTCCTTCGCCATTCCCTGCCCACCTCAGCCATCATTTCACTTGAGGTGCGTCACTTTTGGCCCACCTGCTTTTGTTGCTACGCCTACAGCTACAACATCCATTGTCCTCTCCTCCTCCTGATGAGAAGCTCAGCTCATGTAATCTAAACTACATCACAGGGGAATGGGGGGGTTTAGTTGCTTTGAGCAAAAGACAGCTGCCAAATAAATGTCATGTTTGATTTGAACAAGTTTATTTCTATTATCAGACTTCAAACAGAGACAGAACTGTTTTTNCTTGTAAAGCACATTGAATTGCCTTGTGTATGAATGGTGCTATATAAATAAAATTTCCTTGCCTTGCCTTGCCATTGCCGTGCTCAATGGCACCTCGACAGTGCCCAGGATGCAATCTGGCACCTCACCAGTTACCAGTCCATGCTCAATACTTGGTCCATACAGGGACTTGAACTGGCAACCTTCCAGTCCCCAAGCCAAGTCCTTATGGACTGAGCTTCTGCCGTCCCAAAGCCCCACTAGAATGAACAATTGAGTTACACTTTTAGTGCACCTGATGCTCTGCTGCTCCATCTGTGCCAAGATTGCGCTCTGCACTCTGACGGTGTGGTGATATAAATAACTGACCAGTATATATATTTTAAAAGCACAGCGCTCCTTATTAATGGTTCTGCTCCAAAAATACAAAATCTGTTTGTGGCAGCAGATATTTTGATTATATTTTGATTATTTATTTATTTATGTATGGCATGCCGCCATAAATAAATGAATGCGTGGGAAACCCTGGCTATGGTTTGATCTGTTTTCAGGTGTCTCGGATGCTGCCCGGAGGCCTGTCTGTATTGGGAGTCTTCATCATCTCTGATACTGATTCCAAGGACACACTAACCACACTCCGACAGGTGAGACGCATATAAACACAATGCATGTTAATGATGTACACATGCTTAAAGCTGCATGAGTCCATTTCTGGCCACTAGGGGGCAGAAAAATATTAAAGTTAGCTGACAGATTTCACTTGCTCTTAAAATTGTTGTGACTAGTAAGTCAGTAAGTTTATTTATATAGGAACTTTCAAGAGCAGAATTTCACAAAGTGCTTCACAATGATAAATAAAACAACAGACATAAACTACAGACTTGGGAATAAAGACAAAAAGCCCATGAAATACAAATGAATACAAATGCAAATTAAAAAACATACAAAGTCCATACTGGTGGGTCTTGAGCTGCTTTTAAAAGGTACCCACAGATCTTGTGTCCAAAACAAGAGAGTTCCAAAGTGCAAGAGCCACAACCAAGTCCAATCTGCTTTGGTTTTAAACCTGGAGCAAGGAACATACCCAACAAACCCTGATCAGAGGACCTTAGAAACTGGAGATATAGGCCTGTAGTAAATCTCTAATGTAGGCAGGCGCCTGGCCATGCAGAGCATTGACCACAGGAACCTTAAATTGGATTCTGAATTTAATGGGGAGCCGGTAAAGAGAAATCAGAATCAGTGTCACATGAGACCATTTGGAGGACCTTAGCAAAAGCTTAGCAAGAGCCTCTTGGGCCACTTGTGAACAATCCAAGGATGTTCAGATAAGTAAAAAGCAAACTGCAACAGTCAAGATATGACAAATAAAAGAGTGAATTATCATTTCCCTCTCCACTTGTAGGTGCATATCCATCCACCTGCCTTTATCCACATGTTCAATTTGCACCTAAAATACTTAAGGAGAAATACCCCAAATTTTTAAAAAAAAATCCTCCCTTCATTTGAGGTTTGACTGGCACTCTTGTAGTTAAGTCATCTCATTGCGTCCTTGTATTTTGCAGTGGTATAATGTCTGGATAGTTAGCGCCATCTACAGCTTATCTTGATGAACCAGCTTCCATTATTTGCATTACAGTAGTGGATGGATAATTACATAAATTCACATTTTTTTCTAAGATGCAAAAATCTGCGCTACATTTGAACGGAAACCCGATAGTGGGCCTAAATTAAGTAATTTGGCAGCTGAAGAATGCAGGAAATAATCAAACGCTTAACATGTTGGTCAAGAATCATGCCTGGTTCATAGTGACATGGATTTTGTAGGGAAGATTAATTAAGGAGGAAAAACACCCGACACCTTCCATTACCTTAGAGACAAACTGGGTGGGGTAGAAATAAACAACTTAAACAAGATGTATAGCTGAATATCATCTGCAAAGCAGTGACTTATTATCTGCCAAATGTGGAAGTTTTAAACAAACAAAAGAAAGGACAAAGGACTAGGACAGAGCCTTGGTTAGAACACAACACAGGGTTTTGAACGAGGGAACATAGTTACCAGCAGTAACTGAAACACTTTTAGGTAGTCAGAGGTAGGAAGAGACTGCTCACACATCCAGCAGACCCTGAACAACCTTTGCATTCATTTGGAGTCCAATATTCCTTCTCTGTTTATATAAAATAAATGCTTTATGTACAGTGAGTGCATTTATACATCATATGAGCTTTGGTTATGTGCACATACCTATGAGTGTGTTCTGTTCTATTCTTCTGACCATTGTACTCTGTGTTTGTGTTTAGCTGGTTTTTGCGGTGGAGAATGTGATCTCATCTGAGCATCTGTGGAACCTTGCAGATGATGACGTCACAGACTGTGTCACACTGCACGTCAACCCCAAAACCAGGAAGTATCCTTTTGCACAGCCTTCTCATTGGATGGTTACTTACCAGATACAGTGTGTGGATATTCTTTAACCTCACTTATTAGAACCATCTGCAGAACCTTTGACATCAAAGATCCCAAGGTTGGTTTACAGCTTTTGTTTCTAACAAAGCCCCAGCTTTCATCTGCAGTCATTACATTTATTCCATTGCATATTGCCTTAAAAAAAGCACACAAGTTTTTTAATTTTGTCCTAAAATTTGTTCTGTATAAGCACCAATTAAAATGATTTGGACTGAGGAGTTTTTGTCACTGATCTACCTATAGCTGAAATGTTTTGAGTTAATAGGTACCCACCCTTTATACAGAGACACTCTAAAGGTCCATCCAGATTATTCTGAATGTCTTGTAGATTTCTCAGTAACTATGTTTGAGAGGAAAATCAGTCAACAGGGCAGGATTTGGATCAGGGCCCAAAGCATCAGGCTTGCAACTCGCACTCAAGTTGTGTTTAAGTTTGAGTGCAGAAATTTAGCCGTGACAGTAATTACAAAAACACTGACGTGCTTGTTACGTATACCTCTGGTTGAGCTCACCACATCTCTCGCCTCCAGTAGCACTCGTTTCCAGTCTTTTTTTTTTTTTTTTTTTTTTTGTACTTTAATCCTTCCTCTGAACACCCAGTTTCTTTTTTATTTGGAGCATTGACTCATTTTGTGAGATTTTCTGCCATAGCTTCTTCCACACTCCTAGCTGCTGTTCTATTGTTATGGTCTCTCCCCTCCTTCTGCCCCCTTTCCCTCTTGCTGGTTGACAATAAATGCGTGAAATACATCACTTCAGGTGCAGAAGACTCCAGACACTACAACTCTAACTTCCGCTAACTTCTGGTCAGCCTACAGAAAAATGTAAACACTCAATTGTGCGAACTTGGTTGTCATGGTCTTGAACGTTACAGACATTAATTTATCTGTATAAGTCCTGCACTCTAGCTTTAAAGTAGCATTGTGTTGGATTTAGGGAGCTTTATAGGCAGCAATTGAATATTATAGTCATTATGTTTTAATTAGTGTGAAATCACCTCAAACTAAGAATGATTGTGTTTTTGTTAGCTTAGAATGAGGCACTCATATCTACATAGGGAGCAGGTCCTCTTCCACAGGGTCCAACATGTTGCACAGCCATGTTTCAACGGTAGCCCAGAATGGACAAACCAACCTATGGCTCCAGAGAGCCCTTTTCATGTTTTTACATGACCTGAAAGCCACTGTAGATGCTTGGAAAGGGAGGGGTATTCAGGTTGCATTCTGCAACTTCACCGCTAGATAGCGCTAAATCCAACACACTGCCCCTTTAACTGACTGAAGAGCAAACTTACACATGTCAAATGATCATGGACTTGATGCCATATTTTGATGTGAACATGTAGCATTGTGTTGTTTTCATTCATATCAATGTCATTGGCTGTTCCAGAGCATGGCCAAGCCTGCAGACTGGAAATACCAGTCAGGTGTGTGTTCCTCCTGGAGCATGGTGACATGTTGTTTAAATGTGGACATGTTGGTACCACTGCCAGACAACAGAACCGATGGAGAAATCATGGATAAATGTCTTAAGGTTTGTGCACACTCACATATACATATTTGCACACATTTTTTCAGGAACTTCAGTGGAAATGTTCTTAAGTCATGCTTTGTTTTAGGAGGAGCTAAGAGTGTGGGCGCATCAGCTGGAGAGTGGAGTTTGTCTGATTGATGGAAAAAAGCTTGCAGAGGACACAGAGCTCACAGGAGGACAGGTTGTATGAATCTGAGAAACCTTCAAATTAAATTAAACCTATAAAACCTGCATTATTTTGAAGAAGGTTGCCAATGAAACTTTATTTTTGGACCTTTGCTCAAAGGCACTTTAATAGTATTTGTTATATAAAATGTACTTCTTTAGGTCATTTGAAGAGTGTCAACTGGTTTGTCTCACACCTGTCTCATAGTACTGAAAACTATTTTGCAGTGTTTTTGTGTCTGATAAGTCGTCAACTAGTGTCCATTACTGAAACCAGTTCTCCTGGATAGTATTTCACTCCCATGTGTTGACCTCTGTCCTGTTTTTGTTCTGAATGCTTACTTAGACCTAATCTCATCAGGGCAGTGTAGTTTCAAATACAAAGTTGTCAGTCTGATATTTCACACAGACACCTTTTCAAAAGCAAGTTACTTTTATTTAAGGTAATATGTGATGTTATGTTGGCACAGCTCAGGCCATTGCGTCCAAAATGCATATTTTTCATATAAATATTTAACAAAGTATGACAAATAAACTGTTTTTATCTCTTTTATACTTTTGAAGATCTATTAAAAAAAATAAAGAATTAACCCCATTGAACCTAATTGAGCTCAATATTTAAAAACGTATCTCCTCTTTGTGTTAAAGCTAGACAGTACACGCTCCATTGTAACAGATACTCTTACCAATTTAAAAGATTTCTACAGATTTTGAAAATTTATTTTTAGTTTTTAAGTTACCAGTATTCTCATTTCTCCCCAGTCATTCCCTACAGTATGTTCTTTGCTACAACTTAAAAGATACAAACACCATTCCAACTTCCGGACCTTTTTATGCCTCCAAGCCGGTGATAGCCGTGGCTGGAAGCAAATGTCCACCTGGACGTTAAGATGAACCGAATAGGTTTTGGTGGTCACAGATCAAAGTTCAAGGTCACTGTGACCTCACCTGTCTCAAGATTGTGAATGTGATATCTTAAGAACAGTTTGAGGGAATTTCTTCAAATTTGGCCCAAACGTTTACCTTAACTCAGCCATAAACTGATAAGATTTTGATGGTCAAAGGTAGGGATGTCCCGATCCAGCTTTTTCACTTCCGATCCGATACCAATATTACAGCCTTGAGTTTTGGCTGATACCGATACCGATCCGATCCAAGTGCATATTATACATATTCACTTATTTTGTTGTCAGTCATGTTAGAAAAGGTTTGATCAAGCAATATTACTCTAACAAGAACAACTACTTAATCGGGTTAGTTAGAATGATCCACAACAGTTGGTATGAGAAACTGACCCGTTTATTGTTAACAGGGTTAAATAAACAAACTTTAAACTTGAACATTAACATTAAATAAAAAATATAGCTGGTTTGCTTTGGCTGCTTTGGCCCCCTAATAAATAGAAAATACATCAACACAAGAAATCTTTAAAATGTCTAACAATGAAATTAAAATAGCAGCAAGACTCTACACACTTGTGCTTTGGCCCCCTAATAAATAAAAAATAGATTAACACCACAAGACATTGTTGACATTTAACAAACAATGCAGCCTTTCCTTTTCAGTTATTTTTGTAGTGTCAGTGCCAGCCTGGTGCACAGGCACACAATATTGTACAACTGTTTAAACAAGCAATAGTCCATCCATGGCTCCAATTTCACTAATTGTGCCCAAAACAATGCCATCAGTGCTCTTTACTTAAACAGTAAGAGTGTAAACCAAATAAAAATATCACTCTCAAAAAACCAGAGCAGAAAATAAATAGTTAGTTAACTAAGTTGACCGCTACCCCTCCTACCCTTCATGTGTGTCTGCATGCTGGCCTGGTGGATTGATAGTAAGTGCTGGAGCAGATCACTGGAATGGACTGTTTGAATCGCAGAGCGCTGGGCTGGCCAGAAAACCTGGATCGTGAAAAACTCCGTGAAAAACTGGATCTGAGTTCTTGGATCGGCATTTTTCCATGCAGTCCCATCCGTTGCCAATGCACGTATTTTGCTAATATTGGCGGCCGATACTGATCCGAATATCGGATCGGGACATCCCTAGTCAAAGGTCAAGGTCACTGTGACTGTCATTCTCTTTAACGTGTTATCTCTAGAACACCGCAGTATATCAAGATGGCCTTAAGGGAGTGTCCTCAAATTTGGCACAAACTTCCACTTGGACTTAAGAGTGGACTGATTAGAATTTTGTGGTCGAAGGTCAAAGGCCAAGGTCAAGGTCACTGTGACCTCACAAAACATGTTTTTGGCTATAACTCAAGAATTCATATACTAATTATGACAAAATTTTACATAAATGTCTGATAGGATATGATGACAAAATGATGGCATTTTATAACCAAAAGTTGATGGTCAGCTATATTATTCTGCAAAAACACGTTTCTGGCCATTACTCAATGTCATATCTCAGGAACAGAGGGGGAGGCATTTGGTCAGATACTGAAGTGTTGACACTAATCGTAAGGCAAGGCGATAATTCAACATTTATTATTATTATTATTATTATTATTATTATTTAAATATTATGTTAGTTCTCGGACTATACAAGTGGATGGATCCAATACTGCCTTCTGATAAAGTGCAGGGGACACTTCCCCTGTGTCCCCAGTAAATTATGTCCCTGCTGTCAACTAACAGTGCATATAATACAATAAGAACTACATGTAATGACAATAATGAATCTAACAGACTCTCTGGATTGTGTGAAAGACAAGACTATGTTTGTAACCCAATGTGTCTGATATTTTTCTGTAGAAGAGAAATGTGAGACAGACCTACACAGCTCAGTTACTCATCACACCGGTAAGAGACACACACACACACACAAATACACGACTACATGTCACAAGACGGAATCGTTTTGTTGTCCACCACTTTTGAAAATGTCAACATGAATATTTGTTGAATGTTTTCCTACAACTCAAGCATTTCTCATTAAGAATGAATTGAATAGTAGTGTATACCATATAGGCACTGTATATTACGCACTCCATAGTGAATTAGCAATCATGGCTGGAATGAAGCTACAAAATCAAGTTGATTGTACATGCTTTTTATTATAGAGGACTGTGATTTCCTGTGTGTTAGGATGACAGGAGGTTAACAGATGTGGTCCAGCGGTGTGGAGGCAGTGTGTCAGTCAGAGGAGCAATCCACAGCAGAGCTTACTTACACAGCAACAAACCAAAGGCCAAACTGGCTGAGAAGGTAAGGCTGTGATCCAGTAGACAATATGAATTGAATCTGAAACAACAATCCATCGTTTTATCATGAACTCTTAATTTCGGACAGCTGCTGAAGAGGGACGTGGTTTCTACGGTGGCCACAAGGGTTCAGATGGTGCTGGAGGAGCTGCTGACATCAGAGGAGGAGAGCAAGAGCAGCAGCAGCAGCAGCAGCAGCAGAGACAAACAACAGACAGGTACACACACCCACAAGAACTAACCAGTTTGCTCCACCAATCATAAGCTTGTGTCTACAGATAGTTGAAGTCAAGGTTAAGGTTGAGGTCAGGGTGGTGGGTGGGTTCAGGGTCAGCCAATCCCTGTGAAGAGGAAGGATCTGTATTCTGATAGGATGATCTGCACTAGAAGCTTTACTGTGAGCAAATGATTACCTGACTTTACGAAACCCAGTTCACCAAGAGTAAAATACAAGTGTAACAGTGCTAGGTGAACAATGCACAAAGCTTAAGATGGTTAAGTGAGAATTCTGGATTTTGCCCTTTGTGTCCAACTGCAGCCAAACAAAAGGAAATAAAAGCTTGAGTTTACTTATGGATGAGATTACTGTCCATAAGTTAAAGTGAAGTTAAAGTAAGACTGTGTAACTTTTTAAAGAAGAAGTAACATCTTTATTCATCAAAACTTAATTTAATAATTTATGAAATGCACCTTTTCAATACACCTGGGGGGGTTTTCTGCTGCAGTTTTACTTGATCTGGTATGACCAGCAGCTTATGGTGACTAATGTTGGCAACTTTAGATAAATATTGCTGTTTAACTGATATTATAGAATCAGACTCTATGATTCTTTTTTCCCCTGTGCTACTATTACACTACATTTTAGCACGACACATGGTTTTATCACAGAAAAAAAAAAGAGTATACACTTTACCTCACCCTGCAACGTGCTTGTGCACTCACGGTGTGATCAGACAGGATTTTGCCAGTTGAAATTCAAACAAGCCTTTAGGGGTCACTTTCACAAATTTTGAAACTATGCCAAATGCTTGACATTTACAACATCTTGCTAGTGTGTCCGTGAGCCATTCACATGTGGTCAAACTGTCTCAGTTTCAGTGGTGCTGGACTGCTGGTTACTGAGGTTCGACAAGAGCAAGTTGAAGAAGAATTATCACTAGGTTTAAATGTCCATGTCTGAGGAAAAACTAAAAATAATTAACGTTGATTTGTAATAAATCATTTTGGATAACGATTTCTTAATTTATGGGCTATTTGGGATTTTTAGGGTACTGACATTGGGGTTTGACATTGGCATGGCAACAAATGACATTTCAAAGCTTTAAGGTCTTGCAGGTCAATCAAACTGAACTTTTTCTTCATTCAGATGAATCGAGGACAAATTTCTATGTGACTGCACATTCAATTAAGTCACTCAATGATACTGGCTTTAAGCAACTGACCCAAGAGATTGCAATGTGCCATTATTATATTATTGCCACTTATGGCAACAGTGGCTGCTCTTTACAATTTTAGTGTCTTTCTTGATAACCACAGTAACATTAGGCAAGAAATATTTAGATCAAAAACATCTCAACCGCTCCTCTCACTGTGCCTCTGACTCTATGTCTTTCTTTCAGAACAATTCTGTCTCCCTCATCGTGTCTTCTGTCCAGTAAAAGTGAGTGGGCCAGTGTGTGTGTGTGACTACCAATTCAGTGACGAGGCCCTGTCTGAGGTGACTGACAGGCTGAAGGAGATGCTGGACATTGACGCAGCCGAGGAAGATTTAGATACCAGGCAGGAAACACCAGCAGAAATCCCAGAGACAGATGTTGCAGCAGGTAGGGAAAGAGTGTGTGTCTGCACAGTATCTACGGTGTGATTTATGAATTCAGTTCATACAGTAGGATTTTCACACCAAAACATGTTTTAATTCAGAGAGCATTGCAATGGAAGCATCAGTTTTCATTCTCTTTACTCCTATCACATCGTTATTAAATGCCCTGTAGAGTGATAATCATGGTTTTGCCATTGGAACATCACTACAATGTTATGTACAAACTTTTTATCTACTTGCACTAACCCCATGTGGACATGATACTTTATTTTACGTATAGCAGTCAGGAAGCAGGCTGACAATGTTAGCTGTGAAAAGCTAATCAGTCCCTTTGAAAAAACATTAAATCTTGCTCCTGAACTGTATTTATTATACATAGCTTAACCATAATGATACTACCTACTGTCCTCCAAAATGTATTTAAAATGTCAACAAATATTTAAGATCCTTTTCAGACAGTTTGAAGATATAAGGGACACTGGAAAAAAATTAGCATTAACTAAGTGGTGTGTACTTGTATCCAGAATAATTATATTTAACGTCCAACTGAAATTGAAATAAACTTTAAATACGTAATTTCTGCAGCTGAGCAGTATGTTATTTGTAAAATAGAGACTGACAGTAAAGAAAAGCTGTGTTCTCTTTCCGATTCCCGAGCCTGCAGGGACTGACTGTATATAAAGGTTGGTTAAAACGAGGTTATCACGCTTGATGTGAAGGAATTCTCTGATTTTTATACATAACTAAATAAATAAATATATAATAAATAACCAGGTTTGCCTTACTGAGATACTGTATTATTGCAGTTTATGAAAGTGTGTATTGTGTGTTTCCAGAGCCCATTGGGGAAACTGCTGAGGTGCTAGAGCCCAAGAGGAACAACTATATTGGTAAAACTCTTTCCATTGTAACACCTACAGTTAGGTTTAGAAAAATTCTTATAACATCACTACTATAGCCAAGTAAAGCAAAAAAAAAAAAGTGATATTTTAAACTGGCTTCTTTACAAAATAGTAAAAGAGATATTTTGAATTTTTTGAAGTGGGTTTGTGTGAGATACTCATGTATAGTCAATTATTACATAAAATAGATGTCAGTCGGCACGCCCCCAGTTTGGAGAAGTAGACAGAGGTTATGTTTTTATTTTTGTACAATTTAAAATATGCAAAATGACAAAAATAACAAACAGTATACAGTGCAGGGGGAGGCAGCGAACCGAGTGGACTTATTTAAAGCCTCCACCTACTAAAAGTTAAAATTTCACAATGTTATTAAGAACACAAAAATGAACACAGTAAATAATAGGAGCCACAGTAGCTAATCAATGTGCTGCTGTGGAGGGGTCAGAAGCAAAAGAAATTTACCCACCTAACAATGTCCCACCTAAAAAAGTCAGATTCAGCAAAGTCACACACAACAACACAAACTAACTAACTGATCAAGTCAGCGGAAGAACAGAAGCTCCATTGTTTAGCGAGCTATAATAACTGTTTTGTCAATGGAGGCTGGTGGCTTTGATGAGAGTATAAATGAGGAACTGAAGGTATTAGTGTCTTTCCTGCCAGGAAGGACTGTCTGCAGCAAGGTAAAGCAGTAAAAAATATTCTAAATATAGCCTACACTTATACTGATATTGGTATTTTTACTTTTTGACTTTTTTTGCTGGCTAAAATACATTTTACTGCTGCCCTGTCCACAGCAAGACATTGTTTAGCTTCAGTGGCATCACTCCAGCTAGCTTCTCCAGGTGCTGACTGCCACCTACTCGAGGTAATACGCTGGCTATAGATAAATACCTCATACAACCCACTTCAAAGGATCCAAACTGTCCCTTTAAGAGGCCGTTTACACGTGGCCGGCTATTTTCATAAACTGACATTTCACCGTCTCTGTTTTCAAAAAGATCTTCGTTTACACTTACCTGTATATATATATACACAAGAGCATGCCAAACCTGTAGGTGGCAGTGTAACGAGAAGCTCAAGCCTTCCATGTATCCATTGTCACCATAGCAACATAGGTCGCACTTTTGACACAGGCGCAAGTTCCGGTGCATACTGTGACGTCGGCTGCCTATAACTCCGTTTATCTCCATTTATCTCAGTTTACATGCAAATGTGCAACCGGAGTTTTCCAAAATCTCCATTCTGGCCGGAGTTTTTAGAAAGACTCGTTTTCAGAGGAGAAATCTCCGTTTGCGTGTAAACGAAGGGCACAAACGAAGGAAGATGTCTCCGTTTATCAAAATCACCGTGTACGTGTAAACGGCCTCTAACTCATGGTAGTCATGAGATATTATTACTCTATGCTACTATGTGTAGACTCTGGAGTTGGAAAAATTTGTTTCGGGGAGTTCAAATTGATAAATCCCTTTTAACAACCAACTGGTTAACAACAAGCATACAGCACATATGTTTTTTTCCCACTCCTTTTCCAGCATGCACTGTGCAGTGTATTGCTTTCTTCATATACTGTAGAAAATGGAAGGTGGTGGAATTGTGTTGTGTTGGTTAGATTGCGTATGGTGTAGTTTGAGACGATAGTTTGTCATCCAGTCAGAACCACTCAGGCTTTTTGTTTAATTTTTGACTTTTGTCACAGTGCATCTCAGAGAGTTGGGGCTTAATCTGGCATCAAGCACTGTACAGGAATAATCAGTCCACTACAGCATACCAGTCACCCTTACCACTTTTAAAATTTGTTAAGAATTAACAACTTGACACTTAAACCAAAAAAGTATGATGTGAGTGTGTACATATTTGTGCATGAGTTGCCCTAATTCTCTTCTGTGTTGTTTAGGTGTTGCCATGGCTATTGCTGTCGCCCTACTTGCCACTGCTGCCTCAATGCTCTATCTCAGTGATGCTTAATAAACACACATGTACACACCAAAAAAAGTGTTTGTAACATTTCTACAATGTGTATGTTGGTTGAATCAGAAAGTGCAATAGTGCAGTTTAAATTTGGGAACATTAAAGTGATGCTTTGCTGATTTTCAACCAGCTTTGAGTAGCACCAATTTCAAAAGTATTTGCATCTTTCTACTGTATAGACAGCCAGTTAGTTTTATGAATCTTTCCAGCAGTGAAATACATCTTTAATTTGACTGACTGCAAACTGTTAAAATCTTTTGTCCGTTATTTGTTTTTAGTAAGCTCTTCTATATTCTATCATGATATTAATATTTTTATAATCATGATGTTTTGTGTAATGGGAACAGGTTTACTTGTAGTGAAACTCTGCAGTTCCCCTCAGTACTATGGAGCGTTTAATGTCTTTCGGCTAACTGTTTTGGTTCAACAGCCCACTACTTTAATGTTTTGGGTCAGTCTCACCAATCTCTTCCAGCAGCAGCAGGCAGCTGTTTTCAGTGAAAAACTCTGGATAAACTCACTCTACATTCATTACAGGGTGATCCAGACAGTACATTCGCTCTAAGTTAACTTTTAAAACCATTTACTAATCATCGCTAAATGTTGATTTATTCTGCACATACAATTTAACATGACAGAATCACAGAATAAATCCCACAACTCTATTCATACATACTGATTCAATAGGTCTTTTTAACAGCAGACATTCTGACACATCGCAGGAGGAAAAGCACAAGTGTAAATAATGTAAGGAGTGATGGCTGAATTCCATTTACCTGCCCCAATTTCAGGGTACTGGCATGGTTACTGCTTACTGTCACTCTCACTGGGACACTTGAAAAGAACAGAGGCATTATTAGGGCTATTAGGAAAGCCTGTGCTTTTCCTGCTATGACAAAACAAAATGTCTGCTGTGAGAAAGGCCTATGATTATTATCACACTTATTTCTGCCCTACTTTTCACATGTTAAATCTCTTCTCCTGTGTAACCCCCATCTCGTCTTACCGCAGTTTCCTTGGTACTGTTTTTCCATTTCGCTGGGCATTGATTCTGCCGGTGGTGATGACCAGGCACCCAGGAACAGCGCAAGGCTTTGACATTTGACATAGTGGACAACAGTGGAATTATAAATTCCAGGTCCAATATGTGATGCCATTGGGCCCAAAAAGACTTTTTCTGGCAGACATACATTGTTAAAGAGATGTCTGTAAATCAGTGGATACATTTTTTGAGCGCCAGAACCCGCTGGGTGTGGTCAGCTCAGGAGGTGAAATGGGCTTGAAATATTTTCAACCAGAAAGAGCAGCAACACTGCTATTCAGCCTGTTGTTCAGTTACATGTTAAGCCTTGAAATTTCTGTGTTGGATTGATTATCATGATTTCATTTGCAAATAAATTATTTAAGAGTGGTATTCCCATGACTGACACTGGGAAGAAAACAGGATCCAGGGGTTTGCCTGGTTCAGAGACTGTCAAAAGGTAAGAGCACATTGCCGTGGCACGGGTGCGTCATATGCTGTTGGATTTTACTAGAAAATTCCTCCCGGAGTCCTTTACATAGAACCCAGTCCACAGGCTGTTATAGGCAACCAGGAAAGTGGGTGAACGTCTCAGGGCGTCGGTGGCTTAGTGGTAGAGCAGGCGCCCCATGTACAAGGCTGCTGCCGCAGCGGCCCGGGTTTGAATCCAGCCTGTGGCCCTTTGCTGCATGTCATCCCCTCTCTTTCTCCCCCCTTCACGCTTACCTGTCCTGTCCATTAAAGGCAAAATGGCCCAAAAAATATCTTGGGAAAAAAAACAAAGTTGTAAGGAGCTCTGTACAACATTCAGGGCCGAGATTGTCTGCTAATGGTTCTCAACATGGAGCCAGGTAAGGCGGCAGCTAGCAGGTAATGATGCTAACAAAACAGTGCTAATAATGGCAACAGTGCTGACAGAATTAATGGCGATAACCTGGAGGGTGGTCACTATGCTTTCATGGTGACGCGTGATGATTAGCATTAACCGCCGCTAACTGCCATACGAACGCAGTGCAGTGCAGCAGCAGTGAGGTAGCTAGAAGGATACACTGAAAGGGAGTTGCATGCGCGGGCCATTGGACTGTCTACCACAACAACAAATAGAGAGTCTCGGATTACAACACACACATAGAGGGACTGTGACTTCATTCTCTGCTGTACCTCTACCTTAGTCTAGAAAATGCAGGGCTGTACTACATTATACAGCTGGAAATGCAGGATTTGTTAAAGCCCCTCTGGCATACACAACAAAGACAAATAAAGACCATCCAGGGTAAAAATGCAGAATAGCCATTAGAAAGATGAGAGCAGGTGGAGGCTGAATGTCTCATTTTCGACTTTCTCCTCATTGGATTTACATGTTTGTAGTTCTGCATTTCTTCAATGCATCAAGATTTTTGCATTCTGTTTTTTCACACTTGTAAAGGAACTTTGTGCCCGCTGTCACACCAAATCAATAAAATCAATCAGTGTTTGCATTTTAAAATTACTTGAGGTTTGGTGGATCATATCCCATTCAATTTAGTTTTATTTTTTATTTCTGTCAATGGGTCATAAAATCTATCAGTTTAACCATGTTCGCAGTAAAATATTTTTATACAAAAATCCATTTGGTGATGCAGTCACCATGGTTCTTCATTTCATCCTCCGTTACCTGGACTCCTCAGGAACCTTGGCCAGGATCCTGTTTGTGGTTTTCAGCTTTGCCTTCAGTACCATCGTTCTGGCTCTGCTGCAGGACAAGCTCTCCCAGCTGCACATGCCCGACTCTACCTGCAGGTTAATCAAAGACTTCCTGTCTGACAGGAGAAACTGGAGAAACACCCCTCTGACTCCTGGACCATAACCACCACTTTCCCTCAAAGTCTACGTTCCTTTCTCTCTGCTCTTCTCCCTGTGTACCAATGGCTGCACCTCCAGTCACCAGTCTGTCAAGCTCCTGAAATTTGTGGATGACACCACCCTCATTGGATTCATCTCTGGTAGGGATGAGTCCGCCTACAGGTGGCAGATGGACCATCTGGTGACCTGGTGTGGCCAAAACAACTTGGAACACAACGCTCCGAAGACAGTGGAGATGGTTGTGGATTTCCAGAAGAATGCAGCCCCACAAGCCTGGATCACCCTGTGTGACTCGCCAGTTCACACTGTGGAGTTCTTCTGCTTCCTGGGCTCCATCATCACCCAGGAACTCAAACTGCAGACTGCAGCATATCATTCACTCTGCTGAGAAGGTGAACGGCTGCAATCTGCCATCCCTCCAGAACCAGCACGCCTTCAGGACTCTGAGGCAGGCAGAAAAGATATTGGCTGACTCCTACTACCACAGACACTAACTCTTTGAAACACTCCCCTATGGTCAGAGGCTGCCTCATGCCAGATAAACAGTTTCTTCTTGACTGCAGCTGGCCTCATCAACAAGACCCTGAATACCCACTGACACTGACTCCCACCCTGACACTCCCGACACAATTAACGCACATCCTACCATTATTACTATCACAACTCTTGCACATATTCTTTTAAGTGTATTATACTGTGAACATTATACTGAACAACGACACACTTGATCAACATTTACTTTAATAATGTTACACATTTACATATTCTTTTACATGCATTTTTTCCTCTTTCTCTTTTATATTACGCCTTTATATTTTTTGCATTGTTTTAAATGTTACGCACCAAATCATCACCGTGTTAAATTCCTTGTATGGCAAAGTAACTTGGTGATAGAACATTTCTGATTCTGAAGATTTTATCGATGGGAGACCTAAGAGGCTATGGAAAAACATATAACAGACCCTCTGGTGCTTGTCATAAGTTTGGATTGCAGAGAAACAACCTCATAGCACTACCTGGCACTGTCCCGTCTGACTTCAGATGAACAGAAGATGTTTGTTCTGTGAGGAGAGTGAAGTGCCTACAAAGTGGAAGAGAAAGTGTAGCAGTCTTTAGACAGGCAGGAAGGAGTTAAAAGAAAAATGCAGGGTGGAGTTTGAGCCTGACAGTTCAGTGTGGTTATTGTTTGATTTATCCAGAACACAGGAGCAATGCACCCAGAAACATATCTGCTGTCCAGCTCTGCTGAACGTTGACCCTCAGAGAACCATATCAGTTTTGTCTGTCAGTCTATCTTATCAACAGATCAGTTGAAGAAAAGACAACATATGGTGGCTTTTAACGGTCAGCCTGTTGTTTAACTGTCAGTGAGAGAAGAGGGTGAGTGGATAAGAACGGTCAGCTCATAGATAGTTCCTTTTTGGGAGCAGAGCAGTCCCGGACAGTGCTTCGGACCTCTGATCCACAAACGAGAATCTCCTGAAGATCTTCAGTAGGCTAAGCATTTGAAAGCTTTTGGTCCTCAAACCAGCCAGAAGCATCATGTTGAGTAAAGACCTTCCAGACATTGAGGTAAGTTATTGTGTGTTTATCGCTTTCTTTTACCTTTTCCCTCAGTAGCATTCTCTCTTTACTCTCTGTAGTGTCTGCAGGTGGGCGGAGGATAAATCGACCTAAGACTCACAGTATATAAACACATAACTGTGCTATTATTAACTTTGATAAAATACATGTAGGCTACACATCGAAGTACAAAGCATCCAACTCTTTATTAACTTGTGTGAGGATAAGCACTTAGAGGAACAGAAAACAATCACACATTTTCTGAATGTTAATACTTTTGTTGATCATATTGATGGTTGTTAAGCTGATGCTCAATGCTCTTATTTTGTTAACAGTGTTATTGCTAATACGTTTTCTGTCTTCCTACCTGTTTATTGGACTGCAAACCTGCAAACCGACTTTACTCTGTTACACAGCAGTGGCATAGAAAAAGTCTGTGTAGCCTACGATGTGACAGGCCTTGGGTATGATAGTTTATAGAGGATTCAAATTTCAAATAAGTCATCAACCATCTATATGCATCACGCGTCATCGTTTAATGCCACTGGTATGGCTCCCGTGACCGTCTTGTGTGTGCACCGCACCCTTTTCTGGGTAG